GGCGAGTTGTGGGCCTAAGCACGAATAGGCGTGGCTGTGAGGGGTGTTTGGCAGGCGGTCGCCCGCAGCAGGGAAGGGGCGTTTCGGACGATTTTTCCGCAACGCAAGGTTAATGTGGGCAAAAAGGCGCCCGGAGCGATGCACCTGGGCGGGCGCTAAGGAACATCCGCCGATGGCCACCGCACGCGCCACGCCGCCGCCCCGGGCAGGGGAAGGTGGGAGCGGGCGGGCGCACGCGTGAGCGGATGGGAATGAGGGCGTGGGTGAAGCAAAGCGATCCAGAACGGACCAGTGCAGCGGAGGATGCGAGGAGCAATTGTAAATGAGTATTTACTCAAAGGCTGAGGGGGCTGATTTTCACACAAGTAGTTATAACCATGTTATGGCAAATATGCGTCGCACGAAGTGAGACTAGTAAATGAGATGGAAAACTCTGAATACTATATGCATGGTTTTCACTGTAAATTTTATAAACTAGTAAATACATCATTTTCAACAAGTTGGCTATGTATGTAGGAGTAACAGGAGAATAAATACTTTTAATTTCCGATTATTGAAGTAGCAAACAATTTTTCATTTCTGGCTAATGCATATGCAGTGTGGGGCAACAATTCAGTGATATATAATTTACGAAGTTCATTGTTGAACGGCGACATAAAAAGAAAGAAAAAAATGAGATAGTTTTATTATATAGTATTATTAATGGTTATATTTTATTACTTAACGCTACTGTTACAATGTTCTCTATAAAATGGTATATTCAAGTTTATTAAAGTTGGAAAGAATGTATATACAGATATGCATAAGGTAATGATATAGTCGTTTCGAACGCATGCATAATGTGATATATTGGATACTCTTTAGTTCTGTAAGTTCAATAAATATGTGAAATTTACCTTTCTTGCATGTTTGATGTTCTGGAAATACTGCGAGAAAGTACGTTCTGCTGTAGCACCACTTGTTTTAATATTAGTTACATAAAGTGCTAAAGAAAGTGTGAATTAAATATCGATTAACATTTTATAGGAAATCACATACGAGAAATACAAATAGTTCATATTACAGGCAACTAATAACGTCATGTACATGGTTTCTTAAAATTATATTTATGTTGTGCAACAATGAATGGGAGTTTAATTGTAGTGAATATAGTAAAGAAATAACTGTCAACAAATGATTATCAATACAGTGTGCAACAGATGGAAAACTGCAACCAGCGTGTTTGCACTCACTGAGTGTTTGTGTTACTGTCAGTCAGAATTCATTGACTGCCGTTTTGATACTAAAAATGATGGAAGATGTAATCTCCTCCGATTTTGTCCTTATTATATGGGAACGTTTTTCTTAACGATGATAATAGTAGTTTATAATGTCCTTTTTTGCACGAATAAAAAGATATTACCGAACGAAGGACGTTAGGAGTTAGTTCGGTAATATCTTCTTATGAGTGCAAAAAAGTAACATTATAAACGAGTTGCATACACTATTTTTATGCGTATCAGTATTATAAGGATTTAAGGAAGCAAAATTAATTTGGGTGTTAAGTTTTAATTCGTAGTTGTAGTAGTTCTCGAATTCATGTTATGACGTCATGAATGCTACCTAAGCAACTAATTTGTTTACAAATGGCAATAAGTTTTAAAGTCACGATTCCAACATAATGGATTTGCCCAGAGAAATTGTAGAAGAAGCTGCGAAAGCAGAAAATGCTTTAATACAGAAAAAGTCTTGCAAACTTTATGAGAAAGAGTACTTAAAGTTTAGGAAATAGATGGATGAAAAACATGCAAATTTATTGTAAAGCGTCGACCGACACTATGGTGCACTTATTCCAAATTAAAGACAATGCTAAAGATCAAAGACAATATTGGTATTAGAACTTTTCATAAAGGCAATAGTATTTTCCCAAAAAGATGTAAACACATTTCTTACAAAAGCTGATGATGAAATTTTTTTTAATGAAGGTATAATAATGGCAATAATAGTTACGTTTTATTTATTAACTAGTGTATTGTATTAATAACTGGTATGATTTTCAGGTTGTTGCTATTTTTGGCATATTTGGTGCATGTAGACGTATCGAATTGTACAATTTGTGCATCAAAGATGTGAAAGAGGAAGGTTCTGTTTTGATAATGAACATTAAAGCGACAAAAAATGACAAGCCCAGAATATTTACTATCGTATCCAGTTAAGAATTTAATTATGTTGAAGTCTGTAAAAAATACATTTCCTTAAGACCCTCACATGTTAAACATTTTTTTTGTTTTACAATCGTGGCAAATGCAGCTGCAATCCAATTGGTATCAATATATTTGCAAAAATACCAAAAAATATTGCAATTTTTTTAAAATTACCAAATGCAGAAAAGTACTCCGGTCATTCGTTTAGGAGATCATCCGCAACGTTTCTCGCAGATAATGGTAGTGATACCACAACACTTAAACATCATGGAGGATGGTGGCTACAAGTGTAGCCGAGTGATACATCGAAGAATCGGTGAATAACAAGATTCAAATAGATAACAAGATATTGATTAATGCTGAAAGCAAAGAAAAAACAAGCACTTTAGATATAAATGCATATTCTGGAGTGTCACTGACCAATTTATCAAATTGTACAATTAATGTACATGTTTACAAGAATTAATATGATGTTTTTTTCTTGTTATATTACCAAATAAAAACTAAATATAATTTTAAAGGAGTAATAAATTAATAAATCTGTTTTTAAAAATAAGTTTTTACAGTGAAAACTGCAATCTATTTACTTGTACATGGTACCTCTGCCTTCTTTAAACTCCATAACTGATAATACATAGGAGCCGTGAATATTACGTCAGGGATTGCACATATTTCGTGCAGAAATAGCAATGGCGTAATGATTCGTGCAATAATATGCCATATTAGGAACGATTTTGTTAATGGAAAACGGTTGTTTATAATGTATACAAAAAAGTCATTTATTGCATGATTTACTGAGAATATTATAATGAGTAGTTCATACATCATATCATTTTAACGTTCCCATTTTGCAATATTTCCGTAAGTAACTCAATAATTTTGTCTATTACAATAGAACCTAAAATAATACGTGAGTTGAAGGTGAGATATTCCTATTCCTATGGTACCGACAACTCTACTCTATACTTACGGAGTATAGAGAAAATATTGTGATGTAGTAGCGGAAAGAGGCCATTTCCGCCAGAAAAATCTACAATTGTAGCTTTTATATCAAACGAGTGAATAAATATTGCTCCAAAATTCAGTAGATTACTTTCTCTAAGACTTCGTGTAGTCAGAATTCGCGTATTGCGATTCCTTGTACCGAAAAATTGGTTTACGACACGTCTATCGGTCTATCTGGCGGTTCTTTTGTGGGTTTGCCTGTCGGTTTAAGACCAAAGTTAGCATTAAAGCGATTTTCTCCAAAACTGATGTTTCCTATTCGATTTTCCCGATCTCGAGGCTCTGTGAATTTAATTTATTTTACATGATGCTTTAACAATTTTAATATAATCTCAAAAATGACATCTTTTTTTGGAATATTTTTTTCAAATAGAACAAAGAAATTAACAAATAGAGTAAGTTTAATTTTTGTTGATTTCTATGAATTTTCGTAAATTTCAAAGGTTGCAAACAATGCGAGAAAGTATGTGCTGTCGAAATCACAATTTCAGAGGAAATTTCATGAAATATAGCTTAATAAGCTTTGCCAAAATGTAAAAAAAAGTCCAACTAAATATTGAGAACTTTCCTCATTTTCTCTCAGATTTATTTTCCATACTTAACATTCTGGTTGCTCGTGGAATCAATTCATAGCGCTGCAGCGCCTCTTACCGAGAGGTACTAGGATTCGTGTCTCATCTATAGCAGTGTTTCCGACGCTTTCTACGTAGCAAGGTCGTATTCAGTCACAGTGTGGATGAGAATTCTAGCGGCCGGCTGCTCTGTTCGGTAGTTTTCCATTGTTTCTCCGGTTAACACCAGGCGAATGCCGGAGCAGTGCCCTAACAAATGGGCCACGCTCCGCACGCGTTTTTTCTTGCTCTTCGATCTACTCTCACTCATTACTTACACACACATGCATGCACTACACTACTACATAGTCGAGATTTCAGTCGAGAGCTTAGAGCTTGCCCGTGACGGGCGGTACCAGCTGTTGGGAGATACCTGGTTGAAGAAAACTCCGCATGCCGAATCTTACCATGCAGCGAGTGACGTTTGCTTCCACCTATGCCACAAACAAAGCCCATAGGAGGCGCCTAGAAACTTTGAAATATATTTAATGAAAATTTATCAAAACAACATGCTATGGTCCTCAAAGTAAATGAATCGGTCCAAACAAAAAGGTTCGATGTCACATTTTGCCGGATTTGAGTTAGCTGTGGGAAAGTGTTATTAAAATATAAATTGAACGTTCTATGCATAAAAGTTCGTTGTCCGTGAACTCCGTGACGTGTAGTGTCCGTCAACTCTTAATGTTATGAGAAAATAATCGATGTCTGGAACTTACAACCTTTTTACTTCATCGTCAAAATTTGAAGCTCCCGCACATAGAACGATTTTGTTTTCTCCGATTCAAATGTACTTTCTTAAATCTGCAAATATGTACATATAATTTATTTATCTGACATTTCTTACAACTTAATAGCCTCTTTTATTTCTATCAGAATAATCGACGAACTAACACTCACAACTCGAATAAGGTATAATCTAACTCCAACAGCATCTCTGAACTGCCCAGCAAACAGTATTCATATTGTAAAGCATTTATAGAAACCATACGGCAATCTTTAATGCTTCTTGGAAGTTTTTCTGATGATTCGTAATTACTTTGGGTCACGATTACAAGGACTTTACAAATGCTCAATTCCAAGAAAAATCTTCCATAAATGTTCAAGCCGGAATAAAATCGTCTCTTCTCGATGAGTCAATCTCATATGAGTATGGACGTGACAATGTACGAAGATTTTTTACCACACATTCCCATTTTCTCACTATCACTTCCAACACGAAAACGCCCGTTGCGATAGCACAACCGTTGAGCAGCACATTTATAGCCGGTTTCAACTGCTGCATTCTCATTGGCCTCTCTCGGTGCACAATGCTGCTTGACATCAAATTCTCCCTCATGAAATCGGACATGCACTTGACGCGGAGACCATTTTCTGAAGCTGCTCGCATGACGCGATCCACTCGGTCTAGAAGAGGATGTCCTCGGGGCAAGTACATAACCACGTTGTAGGCGCTGCCCACAGCAGGGAACAGGAAGAACGGTGACTCTGGAAAACGTTTCGGAAATATTTTTATTTAAAAAGATTCTCCATAACCAAAACATACCTGCGTCAATAAAGAAAGGCACGTTTTTGTATTAGTTCAGGACAATCTACATTTGTTCGTACGTAATGGTATATTATAATTTGCTATACAATTATTGTTCTTGTAAAATTTGTCATTATATATCATGAAGTATTTTTGAATTAAATTCTGAAGAGATTTTATGTGTTTGAAGTTCTCATTGTGTGATTCAATAAGTTCTCAAAACATCTTAAAACTTTTAATTAAATCGAATCAGAGCAGCATATCCACCAATCGATGAACACATTCAAATAACTGTAACTCCTATAAGTACAAATTATTAATTAGAGGTGCTACGTAATGGCAGAGACTTTCCCGTGTTAATTTTCTATTTCCATTGGCCTCGGCTAGCTATTCGGACTTGCCACATATTGCCAGCTGATATCTACCGTTGCCCAAAGAACATTTAAAAAAAATTAATATTTCAGCTTCCTAATAGAAGAACGGAGATATAATTTTAAGAATATTATAGAACACTAAAACCTCGTCCTAAATGGTACAGTTCTTTGGAAAAATTTGGAGCCATTTTTAAGAAAATAGCATTTAGACGCAACTGTAAATTGGAAATTTGAACCCCTTTTCACAAAAAAGCTATTGAGTGTTCAAAAAACTTCATATGATTTCGTTTCAAGCACTTCATCACAAATGCAATAGTGTTCACAAATTGCCGGAAATGTGCATATTCAAGGACTAAAAAATCATTAAAAAATTACATTAGTGTAATTTTTGAGAAAAACAAATGAATGCAGCAAAATTAATTCTATATGGTCTTACACTGTGCACTATCTATTGGGAAAATGTGAAGAAAAAATGTGGAATCATTTTTGAGAAAATATCGTTTGAGCGTTTTTGAAAATGCCGAATTTTCAGCTCATTTTCACAGAAAACTGTTAAGTTTCCTGGAAAATTTATCTAACAATATTTAAAGCACATATACTTACAAATGCATAACGTAAAGAAATTGCCACTACTGTAAATGTTAATGACGTGAGAGACAAGTCAAAAAAATACATGTTTGTAATTTTTGAATAAAAAAAATAATAGAGCAATTTGGCAGATATGTCATCTTATAGAGTACCTTTAGCACTATCCCTACCCAACGTTTAAAGATAAAATTTGGAACGATTTTTGAGAAAAACTTGTTTTTGTAATTTTTTATATTGCAAGCACTATTGCGCTAAAGGACTAAAATTTTCAAAAAATGTGCATGATCTATATGAAAGAACTGACTACGGAGAAACAAATTTATATGAAGAAAAAAATATCCATCTTCAATTTTGTAGTTGTGGGAAGACGCATGAAAAATTTTGAAATTTTCCAAAATTTAGAATTAAACCTTAAATTAGGACCTATGCCACCTTTATAAGTATTTTTACTTTATTCTTATAAGATATTTATTCTAGAACATTTATTCTAGGACAGGGGAAATTTTTTTGCCAAAAACTCGAAACATTTAGGACAGAGTCTGGTGTACGTTGTTCTTGGTATGAATTTTCATTTTCATCTAAATTTATTTGTTTATTTATGTTCTTTTTACAGTCTCGTCCTTACGAAGGTACTTGGTAAGAAGGGAAAGTCATGTAATCGTGCACCGGATATCGGCGCAATTTTGGCAGAAACAAACTCCTATTGTCGGGCTCGTAGTATTGTAAAAGTAGATGAATCTAGTTGCTATATAGAATAAATTACTTCCTAAACTCTTCCTGGTGTATCTATAATTCATATTTTTTTCATCGTTGATACCAAAATATAGATTAAAGACAAAATTTGTAGCCCAATTTTTCCAAAATTAATATTCACTTATCGATCTGAACGGGACTCAAGACTTTGGGAGTTTGAAAGAGGGGGGGGTGGGGGTGAAAAGAATGGGAGGAGTCTCATTATTGTCGAACTCTGAATTTTCGAAAATTGCAAATTTAGAAACGATGCGAGAAAGTGTGTGCTGTTCAGCACCAATAGTTTCATACAGGAAGTAGTCTGCAGAGTAAGCGTAAAGGAGGCGAAGTGACGCCCACCTTTCCCGGTGGCCAGGGCGCGCTGGCGGGCGGAGTAAGTGGCGAAGGCGCGCGTGGCGACGGTGGCGGTGTCTTTGGAGGCTGCGACGCGCTCCAGCGTGCGGGTCACGTTGTCCTCCTCCACGTGGCGGTCGAGGATGGCAGCGTCACGCGCCTTGGACTCGTTGAAGAAGATCTCACTGCCCGCGGACCATTCCACGCGCAGGCCTTCCGCGAGGATGTCCTGGGTCGACGACACCTGCCAAACATGTTCCGTGTGAATAATAATTTGGTGTACGTAATCCTTAAATGAATAGCAGTTTCGAAATTTTTCTATCTTTGTGCAAATGAACTAAGCCCTATTTGATTTGATTTGACATTTGATTCTGAAAATTCCCTATTTATTACGTGTAGAATTCCACGTATTCGCTATTACATCATATTATATTATATTAGGTGTTTTTCTGTGTTTGTTTTTTACATTTAATAGAAAAAAGTTATACCCATTCTTAAATTATTGATTCAATGATGCTATTCGCGTTTCAAGTTTTCAAGCCTGTTCCTTTTATTGTTTCGTAGTTATAACGATTTCAAGGATATTTCTTTCCAATACTTCATAAATCACAGATCACCCTCATGTTAATCATTTGGGAGTTTTCGCGTCAACCATACTTAAAATATCCGTTCTCACGAAAATGCTGTTAGTTTAAATATTTTAAGATGTTTAGCGTTTGAAACAGCGTTAGACTCTGTCAAAAGTAATATGTTTATTTTATGGGAAGCTTAGAACAAGTTAAGCGTAAGACAAGAAAGGTGAAAACTTCATTTCTGCGAAATTTAAATCAAAGTTTCAGTTAAATTTTGAATTTTTTGGGGGGAGAAGAGCGGTTGTAGGAGGCATCTTCAAATTGCTCGCATTTTTTCAGAATGTTTTCGTACACTTTACGACATTGTTAGGTGTGTTCGGCTGATTGTGGAATTTTTGGCCCAATAAAATATTAATTTAAATTATTAAAAATGTAATGGTTAACGAGTTTATAACTGCTGCAGAACAAGCATTGACTTTCTCATTTAAGTGAATCGACCAATTTTATCTCCGTAGACAATAAGGCAATAAAGCTTAAATATTGTAACATTATAACTACTACCATCCTTATCCAAAGTTTCAAATGTGCGTTTAACGTTAATAAGTATTAAAGTCATTAGTATTTAATCGATTTTTATTTATAAAAATCTTAGGACTTTAAAAATATTACTTTAGATGGACTGTTAGCAATTTGGAGCAACTTCAGAATAGAAGGAAAATAAAGTGAAATTTTGAAATCATATAGTGAAGGAAAATAGTGTACGATGCTAATGAGTACAGACTTTAATGAACTCTAAAGATTTTCGGAAAATTTGGAAGTATTTGGCTACCAAAAGTTTTCCAGAAGTGATTGGTGGTGAAAAACGTAAGAGTTTTCTTACTAATACCAATATAAAAAATAAAAAATAATGTTTGACACATATTTTGCAAGGAAAATTGACTTATTGATTGCACTAAACATCAGAAACATAACAATGTTCAAGAAATCAATGACAAAGTTCAATCTTACACACAGGTATGTTGAAAGAATGGAATAGACATGTATTCCAAAGCAGGCGTTATCTATAGACCGCAAGGTGGAAGAGATTCAGGCAGATCTTGTGATAATAATTTTGATACAACATATTCGTTTTATGATTAATATCTTTCATCAGAAGTAGTCGTTAATTACTATAATATTGTTTAAGGAACCTTTATTTACTTTCAAACATCTAAAGAATAGTTTTTGATGCAATTAATAAAGTTTTCCAAATTTTCTCTTTTGTTACGATTGGCATAAATCTATGATTAGCGCCACAGATTTTTTAACAATAACCGTAATATAATCCGGATTGTTGAAAATATGGACTCTTTAGAAGCCGGAACAGTGTAAAGACTTATTCTTGAAGTAACGAAGGGAAATCGCTAAAGACCTGTTTCTTGAACCTATTATTAAACTCAAGTCTGTTACCCCAGGATGTAAAGTAGGATATTTATGTAAATTTTCTTTACTAAATATATCAACTATTTTGGTAAATCCAGGAATTGGTTTAATACTAACTTAGACCCACCCATGGTCTCTTCGTATATTTTAGATATAGTTAACAAAAACACAGAGATATAAAAAGGAACAAAAGTATACAACGATAAAACGCAAGAATTGATTTCAAGGATACTTTATTTTATTCTATGAATTCTTACTGAAAAGGAACATCATTTTGATTAATTAACACAATTTTGTTGCCGATCCGGTGGCCGGACCCAAGGATCGAGGGTTCGAGTCCCGCCTCGGGCATGGTTGTATTGTGTTTCGTTCTTTCACCCCCTATCATCGTGTCAACCCACAGTTTCCATATCGTTACAAGCAATAGTGGTCGCTAATGATCTAGTAGTTGATGCGACCTTAAATAACAAAAAAAAAAAAAAAGCAATTTTGTTTGAAGAGTGATCATAAATATTCACCATCCCCGCATTTCAAAAGGTGATATGAAAACAGTAGCCTACACGAAAAAAAAGAACATCTCTCCACTATCTGCCCAAAAGCCTTCCATAGTTGCTCAATGACAATTGAATAAATGCCACTCATTATCGGCTCTAATCCCTTTCTCGTGATACTAATACTTCATCACATGCCCGGTCAATCATCATATTGTTACTATAATGTATTATTCGCATGTATTCATTAGCCATTACATGTAAAGCGTTAACAGACTGTTCAATGAAATTAATGAGATGGGGCATGACCCTCAATTATGAATTCATGACCATTATTGTGTTTAGGTGGAATAGTTAATAGAAGGTAGGATTAGCAAATATCAAAGGGAGTCTCACTACCATTAATATTAATATCTTTGTCGGAGAACCAGAACATTCATGTTCTATAATTGCAATAATGCTTGATCTATAACAAAATGGTGTTGACTCTCTATTATTGAATTAATGTAGACGTAAGCAGTGCAATTTTCTCTCAAATTTAAGTCAAGTATTTGTATTTGAACTTGGTAATTTAAGATCTTTAATGACAGCTTCTTCAATAACAGTTGAGTCACTATTAGGCGTGACTACCTGTAATCTAATAGGGTTTACGGAAAACGCCACGTCCTGTTGTCAACAGTTTAGCCACCATACTACGACCTTCCCCAGGGCGAATAGCAGCATAAAAACATTTAGCATAAGTATGCATTATTTCTGAGGAAGATCGCAGTATGACTGCCAAAACGACCTAGAACGCTTCATCTCCTGGACAGCCCTAAATATTTTCCGTCCGCAAAAGTCTATGTTGTTACTTTCGACCATTAGAAAATTACGTTTATATTTCATTGCAACGTTGTTGTTGGTTTTTTTGTTTATTTTTTTTAATTATATATTTGCTTTGTTCAACATAATGTCTTCCAAGGGTTTGAAAATATTTTACATAAATTACATTGATTTTGTGGCCTATTGTAAGCATAATTAAACATTAAACATAATTTAAAATATGAGACATTGTTCCGGAAAGGGGCTCTTAACAGCTATCTTAATTTTCATGATTTGTTATTATTGAATAGCTAATGAGGGGAATTGAGGAGGATGTAATAAATATTTCAAATGACGAGATTTAATTCTGAGTTGAGGGTGAGCTGATTGTCCTAATTGTGTCGCCACATTGGACATGCATATGTGAGGGAAGGGCGGATTATTGTTTTGTATGTTGTGATAGCTGTTTCAATTTTAATGGAAGAATTTTTATTTATAAAAAAAACTGATATTCTAAATAACTTACCTGGTGTCGCCGCCTGGGTTGCTGCAGAGCACTAATGATTCGGGACTGAAACCCACTGGCCACAATCAATCCCGCCATCAGCCACACGCCAAACACGCAGCGTTGCAAGAGTCGTTTTGTGTTCGCCGACACCCCTGCGCCCAGCAACGCGGCCCACGCGTACGTCATCCACACCGAGAGCGCTCTGGCCCTCTGCACGTCGCTTCTGACCCTCTCGGGCTGCCGCAGCGGTGAGGCATCGGCAGACGAAACCTCGGCCAGACGGAGGACTACGGCAGACGCCGCCCCGGCGCCCAGGGCCACCAGGGTGAGGTCCAGCGGGAAGAGGGCCACCAGCGCGCGCATCGGGGCGGCCTCACCTGCGAGAGGCACCACCCACATCATCTGAAAATGGAAGGTTGTAAACTGGGAATTATTTCAAAGAAAAGGGCTTGTGTTCTAATACATTCAGGTGTTCAGAATATGAGACTACCAGATAAAAGTTTCAGACGAAGAGGTTACTAGTAAAAGAGCCAAGGAACTATAATAGATATATAAAAAGTTATAATGTTTTGAAAGAAATAAATACATACAAATTCATTTAAATTGTATTTGCAATGCAAATACGTCATAATTGAGATTGCTACTATAACTTTTTTTATATAAACAAAGCTTCTTTCTGTTTGATCGTCGTCTGCGTGTCAGATTGCCAGTCTGTATGTCTGCCTATCTGTCTGCCTATTCTTTCTCTCTCTCTTTCTTTCTCTCTCTTTCTCTCTCTCTCTCTCTCTCTCTCTCTCTCTCTCTGTCTCTTTCTCACTATTTCATTTCTAAAGCTCTTCTGAGCTACACGGTGACGTTTCAACAATCCGTTCCATAATTGTATTTTCTTCTTTATGTCGCTTCGGATAAGAAGAAGAAAGATCACTCTAGTATTTGAGAAAAACAATTGTGATGTGAATGTTGGAAATCGTATGCTTTTCAATACACGACTATTCATTTTGAAAATTATGACAAAATCAGTCTTCCAAATTAAAGTAAAATAATTTAGTTATGTATGATTGCATATTTCACACAATTGCAAGTGGGTGCGTGTCGCACACATTCAACAAAACACAATTCCCTTTGATCGCTACCTGACTGAACTCGAAAGAAGACGTTAACTACTTACACACACACACACATGCATTAATTTATCAGGGGAATTTAAAACGTTACCTCTTCGTAGTACGTTGGAAACGTCTGGTCGAAGTCTCGAGAACGATTCTCCGTAGGGAAGAACGCACACATCGCTAGGTCATAGTCGTTATGCTGAAGATCCCCCAGCAATCCTTTCCAGCTACCGTTCTGATAATCAGCCCATGGATAATCATCCTTTGGTGCAGGGCGATACCGTAACTGCATCCCAAGTTTGTATGCCAAAAAGCGCGCAAAACATGGTTCTATGCCATCGTAAAAAATATCCTTAATTCCATTTGAACTCCTATGGTTGCTGAAACGAGGACCTATGACGTACGGGGGAAACGTTTTCGTGGTTATCTTCAAAGGGCAGTTACCTAGATGCCCAGCAACTTTGTCAGGAAAAATATCAATTTTTTTAAACGAAGCTATCTCGGAGATTTTAATGCTTCCTATCAGGTCTACATGTAATGTGTTGTTAGAACAGTATGGTTGAGTGTAAGGATACCAGGTGTAAATATCAATAAATTCGACGAATTTGTATTCAACATCACGTCTGCTTGATCTCCATAACACAATCGCGACATTAACAACATGCAATTTCTTGAACAATAGTAGAACATCGAGAAGCCATGTTTTAATATCAATATCTTCAAAAAGGTTCTTAGGAACGAGTACAAGCATTCGTGCTCGCGCATTCCAGTAATTCTTATATTGAAGATTGTCAATCTGTAACTTCAATTCATTTGCAGTGCAATTGTTGACAATGAAAATGTAAGTCCCTTCTTGGGGTAACTTATCCAAATATTGGATATTTCCCTTAAAATATGTAACAAACATGGCAACACTCCCGACATCGCTTAAAGATTTCAAGAAGAGATCATCAACTATACAAGGATACAAAGAATTAATCAGCCTGTACAAATAGGAATACTTCACACGATTACCAGAAATTGTTGAGTTCACGGAATTTATAGTCACTTGCATAGGTAAGGAAACTATCAAATTACTAGACTGAATAAATGTTTTCACAGTATCCCACATAGTAAAGAGAGGATGCTGATAGCATAATGACGTATCTACCATATCGACGGAAAGAAGTATCACGAGAAGTAATGTTGAATGAAGCGGAACGGTTTTTGACTTGGTTTTATACAACAACTTAAAAATGTAAAAAGAATTCATATTCTCCATAATATGTTCTACAAAAGTAGTACATATAAAAGCCAATTGTAAGCAAAAAACTGAATCTACTTGTCACACTCCATCATATAAAACGTCACTTTTACATCACTTTATATATATACGTCTCACACGAATTGCAGGTGATACAAAATCAGGATCCATTGTTGTTTCACTACATCCAATATGGCTTACTTGAACGTAGTCTAAGCTCTATTTTGGATCAAACAAACGGTGACGAATTCCAAAACAAGACTCTTCGGTTGTTTCATGGAGAGTCTCTGAGAATAGTAAATATTTTCAGACTCATTCAGTATTAGTCTCAATCATATAAAACGTCACTTGTACATCACTTCACACACTCACACGTATTCCACGAATGATACAAAAGCAGTATCCATTACTGTTGCACTATATCCAATCTGGCTTAATTGTAAGTTGCCAAACTTCCTACTGCCTCACACTCTGTGAGTAGTGAGTCTCTGAGAAAAGAATTTTTTTTCAGTTTCATTCTTCTGCGGCGGCGTGCACAAACAATGTGAACATGTTTGCACCGAACCTACTCTTATCTGGTCGGGTTGCCGCGCCCCTGAAAAAATAGAGAGCGCTAGAAACCAGGGAAACAAGCGCAGGGGCCTGAAGTGCTTGAACGGATTGGTAGAGTGGTTGGTGTCTTACGTCGTCCTCTCCGAGTGGGAGAAGAGGTGGTTAAGGGAGCTCCACGCCGTTTGTGTTCTCCCAGAATGGTTGCGTGTGGGAGAAATTGCCTACTAACGTGGGTAGCTTGGTGGGAATGGAAGGGTGTTGGAGACAAACTGACTAATGTAGTACCATAGTTGTTAATTAGGTAGGTAAAATAAATTTTCTACAAGGTTTTGTTCTGAAGAGAATGAAAAAGTCATAAACAAGATTGATTAAATGATTAAGATAAAAATAACACGATGAATGACTGACTGAATGTGAACCGATTTAAAGAAGTAAATTCTGAAAGAAGTAAACGTGTTAAGATTTTTTATTTCACAACTAGGTATTAGGCTAAAGGGTGAAACAGTAACTGCAAGAATAAGCAAATAAAAACTCAATGATAAATTATGTAAAAAATAGCAATATACCAGTACAGCAAGAAGTAGCACACTGAGGTCATTAGGTCCTTTTGAATGTTGATTCCAAGTACGTGATAGAATTGCTTAGAAAGCAGAAAAAACATTCACTGAGCTGATAAGTAAGTATAAATGGATAATCAATATTGATGATTACGAGTAATCATCAGTCCTAGAATGAAAAGTCAAAATTTAATATATACTACACTGCTAACACGTAACTATCCGGCCTGTTGCTTCACCAGAAACAAATAGTAGACTTGTTAGTAAATATATTGAAAAGGTAATCGGTTTGGTAGCAGCAGATTGAGGTCTGGGCACGTAGCTGACAAATACGATCAAAGAAAGGTCAAACAAACATTGTTTCGATCGCCTGACCGTCTCCATAAAAAACTCCAAGCAGCTCATGACTGATGAGGCGTATTCCAAGCGAAAGACAATGGGTGTGCCGTCAAATCATAACTCAAGCTGTCCCTGTAGGAGAACAGTGAGCGTATAAACCACTGAACGTGAACGCTTAGAAAAACAGCTACCATTGTGCATGCACTGAAATTCGCAGGTGTTTCTGGTTCATAACCATCAGCTACCTCCGAACAACTTTCCCTCCATCGTTCAAAATCGGCACGCTTTCGATAACGGTGACAGTTGATGTACATAGAACACTATTGATTGATGTTCTCAGAGACGTCAACTGATATGTTCGATAGTCTCATTTGTGTAGTGAAAGTGTTATTACCGGAAGTGGTGGTTCCTTCCCGGCAAATAATGAAACCCGATACGTTTAATCTAAACGTCGGTTTGGCATTGAATATTTCCTTCTAGGTATCTCTCACATCAGAGCACTGTTCCAAACGTGACACGTTACTGACTTCCTACTGGTCTCGCGATATATGTGGTAGTGTATGGAATGTAAGTATAAATCTGTGTCTGTGTATAAGGGGAGAGGAGAGGACACGGGAGTGGAAAAAATATTTTAGCGCGCAGTTCATGGCCCATTTGTTAGGGTACTGCTCCGGAATTCACCCGGTAGTGAACCAATAAACAATTAAACTACCGCTCTGAGCAGGCGGCCACTAAAATCCTCCACCTTGCGGTGTATGTAGCTAGTGTCTGTATGTAACTAGTGTCGAAGAGTCGCCACCGCCGAGGCTCCAACCCTAGGATCTCCCAGTCAAAATCGCAGCAGAGACCGGTAATAGCCGCTCTCTGCTATATTCAGGCGGTCATCATGCTTGACAATGTCATCACACACACAGCTCCACACGCGTGACGTCAGTTGACCGCTGCATTGAATAGCCTCAAAAAGTCGCACTTGGAGATCGTCTAGTATTAGCTGAAGCATCGGAGGCCAGGAAACCTCGGCGTTAGAGGCCTAGCAATGTTTGTGGATTCTCGGCCTTATCTAAATAAATGGATAGAATTTAATAACTTACAGAAGGTGAATTTCTGCGGGCAGTTATCCTGGACAGTAGTTTTCCGAGGATTTTATTCGATCAACAGCTGGTGAATGAACAAACAGCTCTCTAACAAAGAAGCCACGGACCGCGCGCGATCTTTATTTCCTCTTCCCTTATCTCTTTCACACTTATTAACCGTTCACCCTAAGAAAAAACCTGATGTGATCACTCTGAAAAAAATCTACGCCTCTGATTCGGCAACTCCTAGCGAACTACTTTCGATGACGTGAGCAGCATACTCTGTCAATTTAAATTGAATAAGAGTTGTCATGCAAATGTCATGCTCAGGCAACTACTTTGCTTACAATCAGTCTGCTTCAGGAATAACCAGATGTCAATTATTTGTATAAATTGTTTCCCCCAAAAAATTCGGAAATTCATGATCACAATTCACAAGCTGCAACAATTTCGCAAGAGTTAGTCCTTCGTTTCTGCACTTTGGCCTTTTGATGCTAGGAATGCACTTTCGATCGAACAGCACTGAATTTAAAGTCATAGTATGTTACAATCACAGTTTTTTCCAGTTTCTTTTTTCTCTCGCGTTTGTAGTTGTCCCTTGTTAGTGAGCAATTTCCGGAGTTTCAATACACTGGATACGGATATTCCAGTTAACTCAGCTATTTGCTTCACCAATAACGTCGGTTCCTATGCAATAAATAATTGAAAACGTTCAAAACAATGCACTTTTTGCTACTCCGCAGAAACTTTCCACTCTTGTGCTAATATTTATTATTGAAGGGCCATCCACGCTCTCATTCTAAAATGAACTGAATAGCAGGGCCTTGAAGGGCGATCGGAGGCGCGGCGCCGCGGCCTCACGAGCCGCGACCCACGCGCCCGAACCATGTCCTGAGCTGAACTATAGTTCAACTTGTAATCCTTATCGCCCAACAACACGCATTCAGTTGACAATGGTCTCCTTTCTCGAAGCCGTTGCAATAGTTTTGACGTAAGGATAATTTATCGAACGATGGGAGATAAATTGGCTCTTAAAAAGAGAACTAATTACTATGGCGTCAGGATCCCGACAACAGCAGAGCTCTCACTGCAAACCAATGAGAATCATCTTATCACACGTGCATTTGTTTATATCAGGATCTTCCTTATGGTGAACGGGTAACAGACGTATATGCACAACACTATCACCCTTTCGGCAGACCAGACAGGAACTCAGAGCTTGACCCGAATGGGACAGTGCCCAGGTGGGGCAGATACTTGGAGGAGTAAACACACATGACGATCATGGAAGTTGGAATCCGCATCTTTCATTCGAGAGAAGGATGACACCACCACCACCCTAAATGCAACAACCACTACGTTTACGGACCTAACTACCTCAGTTGTTGATGCTCTCCATGTTGTAGATATACTTCATGTAAAAGATACTCAAGCCTAAAAAAAGCCTGTGAACTTACGAGTAATACCTTCTTTCGCTGGTGAATGGCGAAAGAAATACACATAGAAAAATTTGCCCACAGCCAAAAGTCAACTCTTTTGTCCTGAACCTCGCCACGTAAGCAGTAACTGAATTCAATTAAAATTTCACCGTAACTTTGCTCGACTTCAAGATTGTTTTCTAGGCGATACATCTATGACCAGGTATACGGAAAATTTCGCTTAAGACACCATCGCGGTTATAGTCATTCTAGCGGAAAGTTTCCTCTGCCGCCACTGTCGAATATCAATCTTGTAATCGTCACAAGTTGGTTCGCTAACGTTATCGCCACTGCCGCCATCTTCTGTGCTATTGTCGCCTTTCCTCTTGTTGTCTCTGTTGTCAAAATTCCCTTAGCCTCAAACTGGAGCATTCCGAAAGCATAAGCTGATGTTATCGTTATTTCGGCAGATGGAATCGTCTGAAATAACCATGCTTTCCTGAATCGATGATAACTTTTCGTTCTCAAAATAGTCCTGATTTCATGTTCTAAGAGTTATGATCGCAATTTTATACCATTACATCTTCTTCAAAGCAGTTCATCTAGAAATTCTACACATGACGACACTTCTTATACAAATTAATTTATTGATCCTCTGTCACTTTCTTACGCAAATTCTACGTAAATCCATAAGAACCAAATCTATAAGAAGATATTAGATACTGCTGAAAGTGTTCTCACGAATCATAAAACGAAAAAAACTCACTGATTCAATGACATAAAAGTCGTTTTAATGATGTTTCGTGGCGTCTTGTTCATAAAAAAAATCAATTTACCGTAAGTAATTATTGTAAAATTATGTCTTTGAAAGTATTTTAACCCATATTTTTAAAATGTTTCATTCAACATCTTTCAAGTTTTCGTTGTTTACATAAGAAGAAAGCATGTCAAGGGGACACAAGGTGTAACAGAACGTATGGTTCATTTGGAAGATTAAAAATAACGACGATACAGTTCGGCATCTCATTTACATTAGATAATCAGCTAACGGTTACACACCATTTGAAAACAATACCTGAATTGCAAATAGAACCCGAGGAAGCTCAAACATTTAAACAGACGACCGCAAAGCACACAGAAAGAAAGGATATGCAAAATAATTATTCGGATACCCTGCTCCGTTGGCAAACTCGAAATCCCGTATGTTCCCAAACCGCAATCAATAATTCCCA